CCCCCCCCCCTGTCAGCCGGACCTTAATCCGCCCCTGCCGTGAAGCCGGACCCTGACTGTGTCCCATGATAAACGTGCCTAAAATGCGCGTATGTCGTGGGACATAAAATGCAATTTCAATGCAGTTTGCTCGAGTTTGCTACGTAGGGCGTTGTGGTACCAGCAACCGCGTCTCCAGCTACGAATCTACTTGCGTTCATCGGTTTACCAACGCCGTGTTAGCAGTCGCGGTGTCTCTAGCGCCAGTGCCAGTTGTTCGACCATGGTACGTGGCAAAACTATGAATGAAAAGTTCGCAGGAGAGAGGGGGCAGGGGGTAGAAGGTAGCTAGGTGCTAGGAGGGAAGGAAGGAAGGGGAAAGAGGACGGGGACGAGAGTGACATTTTGTGTAGGGATTGGGGTGCTAGTGGTACTCTTGCCCTACCATTTCAAACACACTGCATTTTTTTTTACAGCCTGTACTCCTTTGTAGAACTTTCTTTAGTTTAGTTGTTTTAGATGTTTAGTTGGTAAAACTTCAAACAAGATGGCCGATAAGTAAACATTGAAGGAGGTTACGTTGCCCCATGCCCCTTCTGCATTGCTGGGCTGGGAAGGGAGTGAAAGTTTGTATAGACCTTCACTTAGAAAGTGTTTCTTGGATGGGTATTCCAATTATTCTTGGCCCTTAAGTTTTTTGGTTTGAATTATAGAGGGTCGAAATGCTGACAATGGAGTTCCACGTCTTAAAACTTGTATTTATGTCTATGACCGCTTTGATAGTAATATTTGGCAGCTTGATGAATACAATCGAAAAACATTTACCAACATTTATCCGTCAGTCATATCGTTTTGGAAAGTTCTCGTATGAAGGGAAGAAATCAGACATCTTTGTGATAGAGGTTCCCAAAAGGTTAATACCCTTGTTTCATTGACGCAAAAACTTTTTGAGTACAACAGGTTCTGAATGAAGTTATAATTTTATTTTCAGATGGTTTTCCCATTTCTATGTTTTTGCCGCTCTCTATTCCACAATTTGTTTTATCTTCACTATAAATGTGTACATTTTTGGTGGTTCAGCTCCGCCTGAGTTGATACGAATGTTGAATATTCTTGCAACAGAGAAGCGCTCGTTCACTGGTAAGTACCCCAAAGTGGATTAAAAAAATTTAAATGGAAAGAAAAACCACCAGTTCCGTTCTGGGTATTTTTGTTCATTTATTAACTATCAAGTTGTATATAGGTATATTTTTTGTCTGTTAAAATTATGTACAGTGTCATCTTTTGCCACCCTTATTGGTCTTTCACTTATGACTGCCCAGTGTGTCAGGCGCTTTTATGAAACATGGTTCATCAGTGTTTTCTCAGACGCCAAAATGAATTTTTCTCATTATATTGTTGGGTTTACTCATTACTTTGGTGCCATCAGTGCCATTTTAGCAGAAGCTCCAGGCTTTACATCTCACACAGGTGAATGCAAAATGGATTTATTCATTAGTATTTGAGGAACTGTTATTCTCTGATTCTTATTTATCTATATATTTTTGAAGGTGTTAGCAGTCTTGTCCTCAGGCTCAGCTTTTCTGAGCTCTATTTCTATCACTATGGTGCTGTGGTTTGTTTTCTGTGGGCATTTGTTCACCAATATAAGGCTGCTCTTATACTAGCAGATCTTAGAAGAGACACCTCAGGTAAATATTATAACCAGTTATACGTATTGTCATCTTTTTCTTCAGTTACAATTTTATTATTTGAGTCTTCTCACATTAATATATTTAGGCAAGGTGGTTACCCAAGCCTACAGACTTCCTGAAGGTGATTTGTTTCATTACATTTCTTCACCTCACATGTTTTGTGAGGTTGTCATGTATTTGTCTCTCGCAATTATCTTGTGGGGTAGTTCTACATTTCCCTTTGTTGCAGCATGGGTACTAAGTAATCAGGTATGTTACATGGCAAAGAAACAGTCATTTTTCTCCATTTTACTTTATTGTGACAACTGAAATTTTGGTCAATTGCAGGTTGAGAATGCATTGCTTACACACTGGTGGTATCAGGAAAAATTCAAGGAATACCCCCACAAAAGGAAGGCAATTATTCCACTAATCTTATGATTTCCGCAAACTAAATTTGTAGTGCTTCGTATTTTTTACCTATTTTACAGTTTACTAG